CTTCCCTGCCTTGTGCAGTTCACACCTCTCACCTCGGATTAACACCCCTCCCCCATTGGAACTCCTTGTTCTATTACAGATAAAATTGGCAACTATGTCCTGTAAACTAAGTTTATGTCAATTTATTCTCACAAGATTCACAAGACTCTGTCTTCTTTGAAGGGTAAGTCACAAAATTATCCTTGTCCTGTTGCTGTAAACTCCTTGCTATGTCACTAAAAAGACCAGCCCACTTTGACTAAATGTATAAAATATAAAACATTTCCTTGTCCAACACTCAGTCTTTTGGATGGGAGTCCAACTGTGTCATGATTCACCTAATAAATCCTCCTGATTCCCATTGATCTCTTATCTCTTGGAATTCTGTAACAAGAGCATGCCTGGATATGCTGCTGATGACCTTTAATAGAAGTAAGCTTCAAGAACGGGATTTCTGCTATAGTCATGCATTCTTTAATATCTCATTTATTAGAAAAAATCAGCAACCCAGCTTTCCTTAGGTCTTCATGAGCTAACATTTTGTAGATTTTTTCCCCCTAGTTACAGAAATCCTCTCTCTGTGTTGTCCACAACTACTCTTACAAACTGTATTAGTATAGCAAATGTTCTTGGAAGAGTAAAGAGATTCTTGGACACCTATATCCCACATCAGGAAACATGTATTATTAATCACTACCTCTTCTACATTGTTTCCTTTTGTAGGGGAAGCATAGAAAACTGGTAAAGAGTGGTAGTTTTCTCTGCATTACCCAATGCAACAATGATAACCATGTTCCTGGTTACTGAACAGTCTCCATATCCTGGTGAAGAGAATTCCCATTCTCCGGCAGCAAAGCCCTTCCAGCCACCTGGGCCACCAGACTTCCCCACCTCAAGCTGAAGGGATGAGGTTCCTGCTGGAGCCTCTGCCTCCTGGGAACTGGAGGGAGGCCAAAGCCCAGGCCACCCTGCAGAATGTGAGGCCTGGCTACTGCCATGTTGTCTGCCATGAACCTCACAGGCCACTATCTTCTTCCATCCCCAAGCTGTTTTCCTTCCTGTAATCCCCTGCAATAAAATCCAGAGAGTGGGAGACTGCAATACTGATGTTGCCCAAAGCAGGCTGTAAGTGATGCAGGCTATAAAAAGTTAACCCGACAACTGGCTTGTTTATAGAAGTGAGTCCAGCTGAAACCTACATGCTGAGGTCAGAGTGACTCACACCCAAATTCCATTCCTACAATTAAAACCTCCTGACTAGAAGGACAATGTTCTACAACCAAATATTTTGTCTATTCTGTTCCTAATTCGAGAATGCTTTGTCTTATCCTTGATGAGCCTAGTTTACATTAATTTTTATAGAAACTACATGTCTGCGCATCTTCACATGTAGTACAGCCTTGCACATAGCTTGCCTTTACCCCAATTGATTTACCCCAATAAAAGTCCGTGGCTGGGACTGGCCAGTGCGTTTGTCAGATGCACTGGCATTGGTCATCCTGGCACCCTATTTTCTGTCTTAGTTCTGTCTTTTAGGTTCCGGCCCCCTCGGGCCTGCACTGTACACTGGGCAAGAGACTGGAGCCTACTGCAGAGGTTTCCAGTAACATTTCAGGGGTCCCCAGTGAGAGAATTCTTGATTTGGTGCCATTTCCTTGAGGCCCTGTCCTGCTGGGTGCTCTCAGAACAGTCCTTCTGGGTTTTCGGTGTTCAGACCTAGTCTCAGCTGAGTAATCTTTTCATCCTCTGTGGCAGCCACAGTGGCACATTACAACACCTCTCTGTGCCTGACTTTCCAGATCTACAGATAGGGATGTTGTGGGCATCTGTAGGATTAAATAATATGGTGGAAATTATTGTGTAAACTTTATAGTGCTTAGAACAATACCTGACATGTAATAAGATATGCTTGCCCTAAAATAGAAGATGGGAGATTTTTTTTGAGCTAGATGGGATTAAGACTTTAAGTTGTAAGTGACTGTGCTTTATGTGGCTGGATTGGCATGTTAGTAAGTTTTCTTTCTACCCAGTGGAATAGCGAAGCTAAAAATGCAGGCTTGGTAGGTTATTAGAAAGAAAAAATAAATCAGTGCTAAGTGTTTTTTTTTCCCCCCAATAGTCTTGCTGTGTAACCCAGGCTGACCTTGAACCTCCTATACTCCTGCCTCAGCCTCCTGAGTAACTAGTAGTATAGTAATACACCATTACAATTGGCCCTATCTGGGTTTTTGTTCTTCAGCTTATCTTTTTAAAGTTCAAAGGATCACAAAGAAGGGAGAAAATTGAAGCTAATGAGTGATTTTAGGGCTATGGCAAATGAAAACTACCACAAAAATATTTTTCTCTGATGAGGAAACACAGGGCACCACCTATAAAGTATTGTTAGCAAATCTAGTGAACCTGGATATTTTTAAGTTTCTAGATGCTAATACTTGTCTATAGGTGAGGTAAAGGACCAAGGTAGTTACCAGTTTTCAAATTTTGTCATTTTAGAATCATTGGGAAGCTCTTAAAACATCTTGATACCCTGGCTTTAATCAAGATCAATTAAATTCAAATGTCAGAGCATGGGACTCGAGCATGAGTAAATTCTAAAATATCATAGGTAATTCCAATTACCTGAGAATGAATGAGTGTTATGGTTTATATGTAGGTGTCCCCCAAGAGGCTCATGTACTGAGGGGTGCTGCTTGTTAAAGATGACTGGATTATTGAGATGCTACAGCTGACTTCTTGTTAGGAGGTGGGACCTGGCTGAAGGACACAGATCGATGGAGGTATGAACTGGAAGGGTGTTTCTCCCATCAGGCTCATAGCTTCTCTCTTTCTGGTTCCTTGCCATAATTACATGAGCATCTGTCCTCTGCCAAGGCCCTTCTGCCATGTTGTTTCTGTTTTCATGCCTGCTAAACATGGACTGAAATTTATGAGCTGTGAGTCAAAATAAATCTCTCCTCCTTTAAGTAATGGGTGTTGGATATTTTATCCCAGCTTTGAGGAAATAACTAAGACAACGAGTTAAATAAAATATCTTGAAAAAGTAATCAGCCAGGCTTGGCAATGCACACATTGTAATTCCAGCTACCCAGGAAGCTGAGGCAGGTGACTGAAAATTTGAGGTCAGTCTGAGCAACTTAGTGATGCCCTCAAAAGAAAAAGGAGAAATTGGGGGGACATAGCTAGGTGGTAGAGCACCCATGGGTTCAGTCCCCAATACCACAAAGAGAGACAGAAGGACCAAAAGAAATAATTAGCCAAATCTAGAATGTAGACCACTGTGTAAGGCAGAAGACCTAGGTTCTTCAACAAATAAATGCATTTTTATAAAACTACAGGACAAAAAGGGGAACTATCATAGAATAAAAGACTGAAGAGACCCATCAACTAAATGCAACAGTAATTTTTATTTGGATCCTGATTTGAATAAAGCAACTATGAAAAGATATATTTCAGACAATTGAGGAGACTAGAACCCAGTGATACTGAGGAATAACTGTCAATTTACTTGCAATGTTACCCTCCCCTAATCTTATATTGTCTCCATGACCTTATTATTCAGGGTTACCTAGACAGAATTCAGCGGTAAATCATTTGCCTAGTATTTGTGAGGGCCTGGGTCCATTCCACAGCATAAAACAAACAAACTCCCCCCCCAAATAAAACTCAAAAAACAAAACCAACCCAGTGAAAATCACCCCAACACAAAGTATGGTATACAGTATCCTCCATGGTTCCTCTTGGCTCACAAAACATAAAATGTTCACTTTGACCTTTTTCAGAAAATGTTTGCTACCCCTGTTCCAGGCATGAGTAAATAGTTTTCCTAATGAACAAAAATATATTGTAAAATTCATTTTCCCATGTGCTCTCCAAAATAAGTATTTCACCAATTTGTTAATATTTGAATTTCCCATTGAATACTAAGTGGATTAATTTTACTGTTATCTTAAGTGACATCAACAGATCCAACTTATTGGTCCATGAAGTCATTATAAATCCAAAGAAAATGTTCTTAATTTACAAAGAATCTATGACACCTTATTCATTTTAATATTTTCGATATACATATGAGCATCCATTTATAATACTCCCCTCTGTGTTCCTAAGTCATCATGGAGTGCAATGGGGCACTAAGCCCCTCTTCTTTCTCTTTACTAAAATTCTACTTAGATCGTGTCATATTTTGCTACTATTCAATTTAATTTCCTCATCTTTTTGTTTAGAGTTCTAACACCAGGAAAACATCATTCCTAAGTTATGACTTAATTTATCTTTCACTTTCAAAGCCTCAGCTGAGGTCAATTTAGCTAAACTGGTCAAAAGTGGGGATGCCTATACTATGTACATATAAGATAAGGGGAAATGATCTTGCATGAAATATTTGTCATAGATCAAAAGTGTGTTCAGAGAGTGATTTCAAACTACCAAATTTTTAAATAGAATTCCCTCAATGGGGAGACAGCTTTGTGACTAAGTTTGATGCTTGTGTGTGTTTCTGGGGTGGAAATGTCTGAGAATTTGACTTAGAATCCTAAATCTGGTCCTTATTTGGCTCAGAAGCTGAGCTCACTTTGATTCCAAAAGAAATTCTGTTGCTTGCTTCTAGTAGGCACAAGAAGGATTAGGAAGTCATTAATTAAATGTATTTCCATGTTGAAATGGCCACAAGTTTTCAATGGGAAACAATGAAGCAAAGATAACAGATCCTTCCCCAAGCGGAAAAGATGATGAATGGGGCAGTGAGAATGCGGGACACAGGGTAAGTGGAGACACAGGAGGTCAGAAATCCAAGAAGGCAGTGTTTCAACAGCACAGCACTCATGGAGGCAAACTCCTTTTACCGTTCCACGCAGCTCAGGCTGGAGATAATCACTCGTGAAAACAGGCGCGTCCCTGTCACTCCGCCCACCTCCGAGAAGCCATACGCGGCCTAGCGGGGCGGGGGGCGGGGCACCCGCGGCTATGCAAGTCTGAGCCAGGACCACGCGAGGGAAGCGGAAGTCGCAAGCGGAGGGCGGAAGAGGAAGCCCCGTGTGCGCCTTTTGCGTGAGCGGTTGGCCTTGTACTCTTGGCGGCTGTGGTTACCTGGACCAACAGACCTATGTCTGCCGTTGAAGCGCGGCTCGTGGGCCGGGTGTCCAGGTCCCGTTCTCCCGAGGGCACCCTGGGCGCTCAGCGACGGCGGCGCAGCTCTTCGGGAACTCTGCCGCCCGTGTGGACCGAAAGCTCTCCCTACGACGACGGTTTCCTTCCTCGCTCCCCCGGCCTCGAGGGCCTGTGGGGTGGGGCAGGCGTCCGCCCTTCTCACCCAGTTAGCCACTCGGGGTCCCGAGAGCGGGCCCCAGGGCCAAGCAACCATAGCCTCTCCAACTCCTGCTCCCTCTGCTGTGGTGGGTACCGGTACCGCCACCGCTATACTGGCGACTGGCAGTGGGCAGACTATGAGAAAGAGAAGGAAGAGAGCTGTCGGCGGAGGCTGAAGGAGAGGGAGCGGATTGGGGAGCTGGGAGTGCCGGAGTTGTGGGGCCTGTCACCAAAGTCTCCTGAGCCAGATTCCGACGAACATACTCCAGTTAAAGATGATATAAAGAACGGGAAGAGCAGTGCTTCAGAATTCAGCTCTAAAGAAAAGAGGAAGAGGACCAGTTGTTCAAAAGTGAAAAAAAGAAAGAAAAAGCCCTCCAAGAGAAAGCATAGAAAGTATTCTGATAAAGACTCAGAGTCTGACAGTAATTTTAGCTCTGATAAAGATACAAAGAGAGTCAAAAAAGCCAAAAAGAAAGAAAAGAGAAAAAAACACAAAAGAAAACCCAAGAAAAAGAGTAAAAGGATGAAAAATCTCAGTGAAACAAGTTGTAAAGAAGGAAAATTGCCAGAAAATATCTGGATTGAGCAGTCAAAAACTGCAGATGCCAAGAGTTTGTCAATAGGTCCCGAAGCACCGATAATACATACTTGTCAAGATGAGAAGTCTTTAAGTTATGGCCATGCTCTACTTCCAGGTGAAGGTGCTGCTATGGCAGAGTATGTAAAAGCTGGAAAGCGAATCCCACGAAGAGGTGAAATTGGATTGACAAGTGAAGAGATTGCCTCATTTGAAGGCTCAGGTTATGTCATGAGTGGTAGTAGACATCGCAGAATGGAGGCTGTACGACTGCGTAAAGAGAACCAGATTTACAGTGCTGATGAGAAGAGAGCCCTTGCATCCTTTAACCAAGAAGAGAGACGAAACAGAGAGAATAAAATTTTAGCCAGTTTCCGAGAGATGGTATACAGAAAGACAAAAGGGAAAGATGACAAGTAAAGACATGTTTGTTACACAGCAGGACCTTTTATTTTGTTTTTAAAATTTTTAAAATTTTTTTGTTTTTTGAGACAGGTTCCCACTATGTAGTTGAGGCTGGCCTGGAACTCACTATGTAGCCCAGGCTGTTCTCCAACTCACAGTGATCCTCCCAGCAGGACTTTTTAATAACAACAAAAGTTTTATATGACTACACTATGCTTAGTATTATAAATCTTCACAGTGCTTTCATACTATGTTAACAGGTTCCTCAAGAAAAAGCTTCTTTATGAGATAGTGCACATGGTTTTTTAAAGATGCAAAAAGAGTTTGTAGAGTTAGTAAAAGGTGATTCAATGCAATCGTTGATTCCCTTCCCAAAATAAACTTCTTTTTGGTATTTGTCCATAGTTTTCTGTATGTACAAGGACATATTGTGTATAATAAAGCTGATTTTGATTGTTCAAAGCCAATTCTTGATTGAAGAAGGTGTAGGCTTTATCCATAAAACAAGATTTTTAAAAATGAAGGCTGGGCTGGGATTTAGCTCAGTGGTTCTGCCTGCCTTGCAAGTACAAGGTCCTGAGTTTGATCCCTGGTGCCCCACCCCGCAAAAAATATCTGAGGCGCTACAGTCTTCCAAAGAATAGATTAGGGGTCAGCTAGGCTATGAAGAGAAATAAAAAATGAGAAAGTACAAATGAAGAGATTGCTGGCAGAGATGGTTAATATTAGACCAGATTAGGAGGCACTCCATGGACAGGAATGTTAGCATGGGAAGACTGGTTCACTGGTTCTAGGGACAGTGTTAAAGAGAGCTCCATTTAATGTAATGCCTTTGTTTTCACTTAGTGATATCTTTCTGACAACTCACTTACCCTGAGACCTTACTTACCAGCACTAACCACACTATATCATCTCACTGGACAATCTCCTGTTCAAACCTCTGTGATAAGTCCTACAGAGCTAGAATGGAGAAGTGGGGTTCTAAAATCTGTCAAGACATGGTGATGTGGAAAGACACCTTTGCCCAAGTGTGTCACGTGGTTGACATGACACCACATCATCTTGAAGTTTCCCCCCAAATGATTTGGGAACATTGGATAAAACCATACTGTGATATCTGCATGTTTCCATTGTAAGAAGCAAACTATACCACGTTATGCACAAAGATTGACACTTAGCTTTTTTTTTCACTTAGTGCATCTTGGAGATATTTAATATTAGGACATAGAAATCTGTCTCATTCTTTCAATTTAATAGTATTTAATTGTATGGAGGAGCCATATTTTAGTGGATATTTAAGATGTGTCCTATATTTGTCTGGCACACAGTCCTATTTTAAAAACCTTTGTGGGTATTCATCTGAAATAGAATTACTGAGTCACAAAGAAACCTTTGAATCATCTAGAAATGATCACTTTGAAGAATTATGGGCCAATGGGAAAATATTAGGTGTTTTCCATGTGTTAGGCATTGTGGTAGGTATTGAAAATAAAGAACAAGTTAGTCTTGATCCCTGCCATCACCATCATAGAATTGTAATTCTGCCAGGGAAGGTAAACTTTAAAAAGCTAAGTAATTACGACTTACAAAGTGCAATGAGGAAAGTATGGCAGGGATATAAAATAAGTTTATATGATTGTTACAGTATAAGAATGTCACATTTAAGCCCTTTGTACTTTTAAAAAAAATTTTTTGGGGCCAGGGATTTAGCTCAGTGGTTCTGCTGTCTGTCTCATAAGCACAAGGACCCAGGTTCTATCCCCAGTACCAAAATATATATGTGTGTGTGTGTATATATATGTACACACACACACACAAACACACACACATATATTTGTACCAGGAATTGAACTTGGGTCCTTGGGCTTGCCAGGCAAGTGGCAGCAACACTGAGCTAAATCCCTGGCCCTGTACTTTTAAATTTTGATGTTGCAACATTTCTTTCTGTAAAAATACAATGCAGCAGTATACAGACCAGCAGGATCACCAATATAGTACTTTCAAAAGGCTTTTTGTCTTTGTTAATATGGTAGGTAAAAAGGCATTCCATTATTTTCATTTATTTAAGGTAGAGTGTCCTCTATGTAATTATGAGTGTTTTTAAAATTTTTTATTGTAATAACTTTTGCAAATTCTATAAGATTTTTCTTATTAATAATAAAATCTTCAGATAATAATCACATTGCCCTGTAAAGCCTAAAAATATTCTTCAATATTAACCAAACAAATGTCTTTGTATTTCTTGGGGGAAATGTGCAGCTGAGAAACCATGCTTTCTCAGTAAGCTAAGATTGGTGGGTTTCTTTCCAAAAGAAAATATATACACAATGCAAGAAATAGTACATGTAATATCTACAGAGACCATTCACAATAGCTCGTCTGTGGTACTTAGGCTTAACTTGGAGACGGGTCTGGCCAGTAAATCCACCTTAAAAGAAATTTTAAAATTGTAATTTGTGTTTCATCTTCATCTTAGGGGACTTAATGAAAAGATAACTTTTCCTTTGAACTAGTTTTGCATAGAATATGTGGTTATGGGTTGTGGAATGGAAGAAAAACTGCATGAGAAAATTTTGTTCTTGGCAGGGAATGAATGGTATAGGAGGGCTGTTTGCCCCATGACTGGAAATTGAAAGAAGAGAGTGGCTAGAATCCCATGTCCCCTTCAAGGGCATGCCCCCAGTGACCAAAATTCTTTCCATTAGGCCTGACCTAAAGGTTTCAACACATCCTAATAGTGTGGTAGGCTGGCGATGAAGCCTTAAGCACAGGAGTTTTTAGAGGTACTTGTAAAATCCAAACCATAATGTAACCCAACAAGTTCAACTAAATGTTTATAGAGATACTGCTAAGATTTCACCATTAAATAGAACGGAAGCATTGGGTTTGAGGTGTTTTTATTTTTGCTTTATGAAGAAAGTATCTATTTGTTAATTTTATTGGAATTTTCCCCTTTCAGTCAGAAATGTATGTTGAGTTTTTTTGTCTTTTTTTTTTGGTACTGGGGATCCAACTCACGACCTTGTATTTGCGAGGCAGGTGGAAGCACCACTGAGCTAAATATCTGGCCCTAGATGTTGAGTTTTATTAGATGACTTTTATGCATTTGTGAAAATCATGATTTTTTTATTAGCCCATTAATATGATGACTTAAAAGATATATATTTTCTAACATTTAACAATGGATTTGTTTTATATATATATATATGTATGTATTGTTTAAAATACTGGCCATATAATCTTCTATTTCCAAATTCATAGTGATTATTAAGACCTGTCTATGAGGGTAGAAGTAATAAGAAGTTCAGAAAGCATTGTTTTTTTGTTTGTTGGGGTTTTGTTGTTTGTTTGTTTTTTGGTACTAGGGATCAAACTTGGGATCTTGCGCTTTGAAAGGCAGGCCACGGAACCACTGAGCTAAATC